AATAAAAAATGTCCGGTCTTTAAATTAAACATTTCTCACTTATTAAGTTCCTCCTGATGAGCTCGAGAAGCCACTACGCTGCTCAGAGACGCCACAATTCGCAGGATCTCTGCACGAAACAGTCGTTTTCCTTCAGTTGTGTTTTCATCCACTTTGCTACCTTTTGCTAACAGGCTGGTCGCTGTTACAGAAGAGTCACTTTCCGATTTGGCGAAGGAAAAGGCAATCGTTGAGTCGACACTTTCAGCCTAAAATCGAAACAAAGGGCTTCAGCAGATCAGAAGACAAAGTCAAATGAAGAGGTTGGCGAAGGAAGGTTCATTCATTTGTAACAAGCGTGCGTTAAAGAAAAAAGTCGGGAGAGTTCGGCATCGCTGTCACGCATGCAAACGAGGATGCTTTGCTGCTTGCCACTCTAGTTCAAAGATTTGTTATTAAGTAGCACTGGCAAGGGGGGACGTCCAAATCGAACTTAGAACTCGAGGATATTTTTGTAAAACTTTTTCATCCAAGATAAAAGAGCAGCTGCAGGAGGACATAACGAATAGAAAGAAAAAACATCTTACATTTGCTTCCATCACAGGTGGCAGTTTCGTCCACTCTCCATCATTCACGTTATCTGAGGATTTTGTTCTGTCCCTTCCAGTCCCAACGCGGTTTGTGTACATGCAACCAAGGCAGCGTGACTTATCGTGGCTGGGACGATTCTCTCGTTTTGTGGAGCTGACAACAAACGGTGGAAGAAGAGAAGGTGCGGCCACGAAATGGTCCGCCCAAGAGCCTTGAAACTCGTATGGTTCCGTCTGTAATCGAACAGGCAAACCAATCAATTAGTTTTACTTGGGCAAACGCTGTCAGGTAGCAACTCAGTCAGTGAGTCGACACTCAGTCAGTCTGTTGTGAGTGAGTAGGCGAGTGAGTCAGTCAAAAAGTCAATTAGTCAGTAAGTGAGTTCGTTAGCCCGTCAGACAGTGGGTCAGTGAGTCGATGAGTCAGTGAGTTAGTCAGACAGTCAGTCTGTGAGTCAACAGGGACTTTAAGCAAACCACGACGGCGACGGAAACGAGAACGTGGAAAAACAATAGATTGGCAGAACAATAACACAGCACGTGCGTTTTAAAACTTTGTACATTTCTTAGCCGTCCTTTGCAAAACAGCAACGTGAAATCACCAAAATTTGCGTCGTCTGCGAAGCGAAACCGCGGCGGCAAATTATTTTAATTTACATTTGGAATTCAACGCTACTTTTACGCGTTATGTTGAGTTTGAGGTCTGGCGCCCTATGAGACGGTAAACACATGCAGCCATTTTAAAAATTCTAACCAAAAGTAAAAACTCATTCTTTAATCGACGTCTTCCGTGGCGTTGCCGTCCTGACTGCTTGAAGTCCCTAATCAGTTAGACAGTCCGTGAGTCAGTAAGTCAGTTACCCAAAGAGTTAGTCAATTATCCACTCACTCAGGAATTCATTTATTCTGTAAGTCAGTCGGTTGTCCAATCAGTTGGTCAGATACTGCATTCGACCGGGACAAAACACGATCTTTTGAGGCATACATCAATGAACCAGCAAAAGCTTCATAAAAGCTTTCTAAATTCACTTTCAGTAATTTCAAGTCCCGCCCATTGGTACAATGACATTCGAATTACCGCTAACCCAGCGCATCACAAAGAAAAATTTCTCTGCGGAGGTTTACTGAGGCATTTGCAGTCCAGCATTATATCAATATTGATGACCATGCGACTCTTTGTTACTTGCTCAAAATGCTATTTCTCTGCACTCACCTGGAAGAGCGAGCTCAAATCACGAGGAAGACATAGACCAAGGAATTCATTTCCAATATTCTTGTTCGTCGATTTGAACTGCCGGAAATCAAAAGCGCTGGAAATGCTGGCTAAACTATCGCGCTTGGTGGAAGAGAATTCCGCAGCAGACATGGAGCGCGGAAACTGGAAAGTGCTGGAGAGAAAAACAAACAAATAATAAAGCCATAAAGTCTGTTGTAGAAAAGATTACAAAGGGGGGAGAAGAAGAGGAAAATTGTAATCTAATATTCAAAAACGAAAGAAATTCTCTACACTATCTATCACAGAATAGATAGCATATAGCATAACCAATCAGATAGCAGCATTTGTGATAGAACGCTAGTAGATTTATACCGACAACCAGACCTACCATTTATAAAAGAGGTCTGCACTGATTAGATTTAATACCAAATTCTCCAATTAGAAATCTACTAAAATCAGTTGGAAGAATCAGCTTTCAGATTTTGCGAGTGAAAGGATCAAATAGACTCACCCTGCTCTAGTGGTACCAAAAGCATTCACTTTCTTCTCCAGGTCACGATTAAAACTTCTCTGACGCCGTAACGTGCTAAGCGCCGTGTAACCAAACGCATCACGAGAGCTCGTGAAAAGCGAGGCCTCTGAACTGGCGGATGAATTCCGTCGCAAGTCACCAGAAATCACAGTGTTGTTTTCATTTGAGCCGAATAAACGATTTTTATTCACAATCTTTTTCGGCGATAATCCCTCATTTGACGAATGTCCGCTGCTAGTGCTGCGCGTGCGCCGAACGCGAGACAAATCACCGGACTTAAGCCCCAGTTTCCGGGCAAAGTCCGCCTTTTCAAAGGAACTGCCTCGGCTGCGTGAGACATTGCCATCCGACTCGTCTCCACTTATTTGACTACTGTTCACCAAAAGCCTGTCCCTTCTCAGGCCACTTGAACTGGCACTGTCCACACTCATTGCCCTGGTTTTGCTTTCGACTCCTGAACGAAAGACGATAGTCTTATCACTTAAGATTTTTACTTCGGCCAAGCTTCTGTTACTACCGTGCAAATCGTTTAAATTCTCCACCGGAGACACATGCATCAACTCGGCGTCAGAACTCGAGCGACTTTTACTTGCCATCTTGGAAAAATCTGTACTCCCGCTAAAACTGGAGCTACGAGTTTCGGGTATAATCCCGAGGGATGGACTTCCCATGCGCCGCTTTTCCGTGAGGCTTGTACTCCGCTGCCGCGACTGGAGATCGTTTTGTAGTAATTCGTTGATTGGGAGGCGTTTGCGATCTTCTTGCGAAGGACTTGAGCTGCGCCTTAAAAGCTCACTCGAGGAGTATGCTGTGGGAGACTCGTACAAGAGGCCCCCCTGAAGGCTGTCCGCCGAGGAGTCCAATATTAGGTCCTTCTCGCCAAGGGTCTTGGCGGTGTCGTCTGAATTAACACTCAGCAAACTTTGACTTGTTGGGCTCTCCTGTTGTAAGTAGCCCCCAGTTTCGCTCGCGCTGCTCGTGCGGCTACGAGAAGCAATATACGACATTTCCAAGAAGTCGCCGCTGTCCACACTCGCACTGCTCAGGTTACTACCGGACCGCACGTGGAACGATGACATATCAGTCACTTCGCTTTCCATGCGGTTCCTTATTTCCGGTTTGAGCGCAGAGTAAGCAATCGATTCGGAAACAGAACGACGGTTAGTGCGATCCCCATCCGACATCGTCCCGTCCATTTGAGGGACATGCTCGCTAGGAGCGCTGCCAGTGTGTTTATGAAAGGGCCTTAAACCGACCCCATTAGACACACGTACATCGTCAACAGAATGTTCACTGACGGATTTCAATGGAGACCCGATGCGATCGACATTGGACACCGCCCTCCGCTTCACGTCTAACGTCTCGAATGTTGAATCTTTCTCGCCGAAAGTTGCAACAGAGAAATTTCCCTCGCTGTAATTCCTTCGATGTGACATTTTACTTTCCTTATTAACCGCGGACAGGTCAAGTCCAGTTTCAGTAAAAAGGCGCTCCAGGATTCCTCCTGGAGCAGGGGTTATTACGCCTTCATCTGTAGGCTCTGAAACCGAAGGCGACTCTTCTCCAAGGTACACCCCACTTCTTTCGTCGTAAAATCCACTTTCACGACTTGCTATCTTACGTCGTCTTTCTGCATTTTTGTACCACAGCGACAAAATCCCTCCCTCACTGGCTTCCTCGATGGATGTCTTTCTGCTGGATCCCTTGTCCTCTCCAAGATATATCCCGCTGAACTTGTCATATGCTGTAGACCCTTCTGTAGCTTTGCTTTCTTCTCCTAAGTAAATCCCTCCAGCACGTTCTGTCTCGCTGATACCTGAGAGCACTGATGGTGCTGGCTTGCTTTGTGGTTCTAAGATATAAGAGAGGGGAACTACCTCTTCTTTGTTTTCAAGTGATGTCTCCAGTACTGGCCACTTATCCTCGCCCATGTGTCGAACGCTCTCCCATTCTAACTCTCGAAGGATGTCTGCACCTTCACGGGTCTTTGCGATCAAACCAAGGACGTAATAGCATGTTCTATAAATCAATCAACTAATAAATCATTCATTTAATCAATCAACTAATCAACTAATCAACCAGTCAGTCTGTGAGCAGGTCAGTAAGTAAGCACGTAAGTCAGTCAGAAAGTCAGGAGTCAGCAAGTCTGTCAGAAAGTAAGTAGTTAGCGAGTCGATCAGTCAGAAAGTGAGTGCGTCAACAAGTTCGAGAGTCAGGGTCAGTAATTAAAACCGTCAGTCAGTCAGAAAGTTAGTAGTGATTCAGTCAGTCAGTCAGTCGGTCAGAAAGCCTGTAGCAAGCAAGTCAGTCAATAGTCAGCGAGTCAATCAGTAAGTAAGTCGGTCAGTCAGTCAATCAGAAAGTCTGTAGTCAGCGAGTCAATCAGTAAGTAAGTCGGTCAGTCAGTCAATCAGAAAGTCTGTAGTCAGCGAGTCAATCAGTGAGTAAGTCGGTCAGTCAGTCAATCAGAAAGTCTGTAGTCAGCGAGTCAGTCAATAGCCAGTGAGTCGATCAGTAAGTCAGTCAGTTATTAAGTCAGTAGTCAACGAGTCAAATCAGTAAGTTATTCAGTCAATCAGCCACTCTGTCAGAAAGTCAGTCAGTGTTAAAGTCGATCAGTCAGTGAGTAGGTCAAAGTAAATCAGAGTAAACAAGTCAGCCGGTCATTCAATCCGTCACTCAAAGAGTCAGTCAGCCAATGAAACTACTTGACACATTTTGATATTTTCAACTCAGATCTATCTCCAGTCGTTACAGGTCAGTCTAATAAGTCACTGTGTAAGTCAGTCACTCTTCGGCTACGCCAGGATACACCAGTTAAGTATAACCTTTCCTGAAAAACACAACTATAGTAATAATCTTTAAAATTCATACCCTCGTATGGCAAAGTTATCACAATCTTCGGCCAAACGAACTATTTCTGGAATGATTGCTTCTTCTACAAGAAAGTTGATACCCCAGTTTGTGGATCCAACATGTCCCTGAAAATTAATTTTGGTGATTACATGAAAGTCTGTAGCCTGCAAAGGAGCTGGGCGGATGGGCGCGGGGGTAATACAAGAACACAAAACATGTCCAGGGCGCACACAAGAACACAAAAAAGAGTAGGAACAAAGAGAAAAGGACCAAGTGAGGCTCTAAAGGTTTTAAAAAGAGTTCAAGAGCTCGGAAGCGAGGCTTATCAGAGGAGGAAGGGGCCACAGTAACCACGCCTGTGCAAAAAAAAAAAAAAAACCGATAATCAACGACTGCTAACCAGTCAGAAAAGCAGATAATATAGCAATTGAGGCGTACCAAAGCCCACAAAGCTGCCTTGAGTTCGTCCACTTGTTCTTTTGTTTTTGGTTCCAGAGTCTGAAGTGTGCGCGCAAACAGCTCCACATCATTCTAAACAGAAGTTTAAACAGTCGATCTCAGCACCAAGAACCATCAACTACATACGACGTTCATCAGAAAACAGTTAGTTTAGCTAAGGCCAGTCTTTAAGCGCTAAAAACACCGAAGCTTATCCCCATTTTCACGAAGTGACTAGTAGCATATTTAGTACATTTACTTTCCCTAGATGTGATACAAGTTAACTAGGGGTAATCCACCACCACCAACACCCCCCCCCCCCTTCCAGCACTTCTTCATGTTCCCCTATCAGTTTACCGGCAGCCACTTGACTACGCTCCTGGGTGGAGAGAGGCACTTTGAGATGACAGTGTTTCGCAGAAGAGAACAACACAATGACCCGGCCAGGTATCGAACCCAGACCTCTCGCATCGGAGTCGACCACACGAACCAGTAGGTAACTGTTATTTCGAAAAGGAATACCTGAAAATCACACTTACTGATTTCTGCAGGAGTTTAAAGCCGTTTTTCTTTTGAACCAGCTGTCCATACAAATGAGGGGGTAAAAAGGCGTCTTTTAATACCAGCCTGTTACAAAGAGATAAAGTCAATTTTCTGTGGTCCCACCTTATACTTTGCTAGCGACAACTGATCTCCCTTCGTTCCCCCTGATATCCATGTGACCCCCAAATCCTCCCCCCCTATAAGACATTGGTATGCTGAACATCAACCCAACCTTCAATTCAAGTTCCAACAATATTACTTTTATACCCTACGGGCAACGACTGATCTCCCTACAATCCCCCTTATAACCATGTGATCCCCAAATCCCCCCTCTTAAGGTATCGGTATGCTGGACACCGACTTGACCTTCAGTTCAAGTTCCGAAATAATTACCTTTTGTTTGATCTCCTTATATACGTGTTGTCGTCGCTCTTTTTCACGTATGACGTCAGTGATTCCGCCAGCAGTTCTTCGACCCAGCGAACATATGCAGTATTATATTCCTTCAACATAAAACATTTCATATCAATGCAAATTTCTACTACAGCTGAGAGGAGCAACATAACGGCAGAGAGCTTTCCAATGGCACGTCGTAACACCACACTCAAATTAATCACAAAGGCCTCGAAGAAAGAAATATAATATCATAGCAATCAGAAATATGTTCGTGCGAACTTAGCAACGGCCTAGCTCACCATGCAGTTCTCTGTGGCTAAGTGGTAGAGCATCGGAGCTCCCTAAATCCGATGGTCTGATGTTCGAAACACAATGGTCAAACGTCGGGTATGCGCGAGAGGATAGACGTGGGCCGCCCGTGCACCAATTTCCCGCGCAAAGTTTCGAAGGGAAACATAAATAAAAAATTCATATTCTCGCAAAATAAGCGAAAGATAATTAAACTATTCACAGAAATCTTTAAAAGGAAATAAAAGTTGGGAAAAGAAGCACTCGAGACTTCTTAAACACAGAACTTATTCAAGTATGGGTATTCTGTGGCTTTACTATTCTGTTTTGGGCTTTACCATATGCAAAAACGTTATACGCTTCCAACACATCGTCAGTTACTGGCTTGTGCGATTGTTTGTAACTGGTGTGAGACAACTTGGTTGTGACAGCCTGAACGCGCCCCATCTAATTATTACAACGTTAGCCTCCAGTGCAGGAGTCTTATTAGAGCGAGTTAACGCTAAGAAGCGCGCGATCGTTTATTCAAACGGCCATGTTTAATTTGGAGCTACAGTCGACGGTAAGTGGAGGGGACAGGAAGGCACTCTCTCACCTTCCCTCCCTCCTTATTTTTTTACCGTCACCCACCCCCTTGGTACAAATTTCTTTCTCTTCCTAGCCTTTCGGTTACATTAAATTCAAAGATGACGCCCATAATTCTCGCTAAGAAAATACTGAGCACTCGCTAGCCGAAGCTACGCCTGCTCTGCAGGCTATTTACAACGTTCGAACATGCGCAGACGAATAAACATCTTCCTTTCATCACTGGGTAAGTGCCCCGGCTTGCGTCCCTTATACGGAAGTCTAGAGACTGAATATAAAATAAGCTCTCACCTTCCTCCAATTGTCCAGTAAGGGTTGCAAGTAGCCTCTTTGTGTCAGATATTTTAACCCACTCTCGACCGAAACGAACCTGAAATAATTGTCGGTTACGTATGTTGTTAAGTCATATATATGTTGTTAAGTCATCTATATGTTGTTAAGTCATATATATGTTGTAAAGTCAGTTCAACGCAACGAGTTCTTTCGATACGACTTCGTCAAAATTGCACATAAAAAATTCGAGCGTGTAGCTTCACCATACTTCCCGTAATTTCACTCATAACCCTCGAATTCGTGCACAAGATGCAGATTTCGTGACGCAAGTGCAAACACACTAAGCAGGGATTTTATGAATAAGGAGCTGTTCACACGCACCGCTCATGGTCAGTTTACATACCTCTTGCCGGCCGAGTTCGAAGTCAGTAAGGCTGATTAGCGCTAACCCAGGGTTAAATTTTAAACTGGGATTCTTTATCCCTTTCTCAGATAATTTTCTCTATTCTTTGAAGGGCATCCAGTCTTCAAATTGTAGACAAAAACAACTGTACTGAATTTTCTTTTAAAGCTTTCAGATCTTGAGACAGATTTTACAGTAACCCTGGGTTATCTTAACCCAGGTTTGAACAACCCGGCCCACTGCTCAACCTCGTTCCCAGGGTCTCTCATCTTTTCGCCCACTGGAGCGAGCGAGGAGAGACGCTCCAGGGGGCGGGAAGATGAGAGACCCTGGGAACAAGGTTGCCCACTGCTCTGAGTTACGGACCGAGTCCTTCCCGCTTGCATATGATCCAAACACGAAGCGCGTGGGTCAAAATTGATTATTCATGACGTTTAGATAAATTCACGAGGGGCAAAGAACATATTGAAACTTAAAAGAGATAAAAGCAGCAAGTAGCAGAAATTATGTATTTTTTTTTACCAAAAAAGTTCATTACTTTACACGGAAAACAAATCATTGAACAACATTACATCCTCTTTAGAAAAGAATTAAAAATTTGCAGTTTTAAAAAATTCGCCTAAGCGACAAAGTATCAAAAGGATGATATGGAAGGCAGGATTTTCAGGGGTTTTTTTAACGTTTTTGTGGCGATTCATCTAAAAAGGCATATTTTTGGAATTGGCAGCACCTTTTTAACCCTACAGTCCTATTTTATATAATTTTTACCTCAAATGTTCCCACCCTGGTACCAGTATGCCTATTCTCCTATCTGTTCAGTCTCTAGACATTTCCTGAGGTACTTAAAAGGATCATTTGTCCACCAATCCTTTGTCAGCAGCTGACTCGACACCAGCGGTAGCCCATTAGCCACAGACTGGTAGAAATTCAGTTATAGCCAATGCCACCCCCCCCCCCAAACCACCGAAAATAATACTCTTGCCCAGCTCACCTCGTCTTCACAAGCTTCATCTAACACGTCAGCCGCCTCAACTGCAACTTGGTTATCAGTATCGTACAACTGTTAAAATGAAAGTTAGAGAAGATTGAATCCTTTGTACCCTAACATCAGTATGCATATTCTCCATACTGTTCTCTACACATTTCCTAACATGTAGGCAGGGAGAATTTGTTTAACAATCAAGCACTTCTTGGTGATCATTTGCTATATTCTTGTGACACTGATGTGCGATTCAGGAGAGTTATTGAAAAGAGAAATTAGGGTTTAGTTACTGTGAAGGGTCAAAAGGTCGAGGCTCAAGCTATCGGAAATCAAAAGTATTTCTACTAAACCTGTGTAACAAGAAGCTCAATTCCCCAGCTGTGGAAGAACGCAACACGTGCTCGTAACAGAACCCTCATGTGACTCGTTGAGTAGAGGCGTGTGGCCTGGAGACAATAATGCATTTGTGAGCAAAAAAAGACAAACAAACAAACAAACAAACAATTGTCTGCTACAAAGAAAATCTCGACTCTTTCACTTTGCTACATTGCTATACAAAAGGCGTAAATGAACGATATCTATCTACATACCGAGCTGGAAGCTGTTAGGATTTTCGAGAGAATTATTCTTGGGATACCAGTGTGACTGTAATCCAAGCTTGCTACAATCAACTTCTGTAGGCTGTCACGTGACGGTATGGAGCATAACTCCAGAAGACTTAACAGATGGAAGCATAGTTTATTAAGTTTGAGAAATCTCTGAAAACATTTTTGCATACCTAACAAAAGTTTTGAAAAAAGAAAGTCCAACATAACTAATGCTTTGTCAAGAGGTATAAACCTTACGGTAGATCATTCAAGTAGAAGTAGGCGCTAGGAAAACATAACACTTTTTCTACGCCCTGGAAAGGGGTATTTAAAAATATAGTTCTTACCGCGTATTGAGATCGCAACGAGGAGTCTAACCGTTTGATATTTGTCTTCAAATCTACTACAGACGCCGCCAATTTTGAAAACTCAGTAACCGTGCCTTTTCACAGCTCATATGAATCAACAAAAATGATAAAAGTAACTTTTACGTCACACGTAAACCGCGGACAGGTTGCCAAGTTATTTTCAAAATAACCATCTTCCTGGTCGAGTTTTTTTTAAGCACATTTGAAAAAAAAAAAAAAAATTTAAAAGGTAAGTTACTCTTTGGCATTCTCCACATACAGTCAATATCATAATTTCAAATATACTTCATAGGAGCGAATGGCAAATTACATAGTTTCTTCAGCGTTATTCTTCTTTTACCCTTTACACTCTGATATCAGTATGTATATTCTCCATACTGTTCTCTACACATTTCCTTAGGTGCTGACAAGGAGAATTTGTGAGAATCATATACTCACTACTGATAGACACCCGTCCTCTCCATCAACTTGGATCCCACTTTAGTTCCGGCCAGTTTGCCAAGGAACAAGAAGTAATCTCTACTGAGCGTGCTCACGACATTGTTGTTACTTAGGACTCCGGTTGTGATGCTAGGAGATAAGGCCTGGGAAGGAAAGTAAAAGCATTAGCGTTCAGACCCAGACCTCTTTGATAATTTCAGAAGGATAATCATTTTTTATGTGCAAGTAAATGAGCCTTTGTGGCCCCGCTATAGAGAATCTACTCTACCAAAGACAAAGAGGGTTAAGAGTGTGTTTAACGGTGTGGATGATTGTAAAGGGTTGCACGGGATTTTCAAGCGACGCGGGACTAAATAAGGCCAAAATAAATATGTGACGCGTGGAATGGCGAGCGAGTTTCTTTATTTTATAAACCAGCGTGAGGCGTGATTTGTCTCCTGAATATACGTGATTGGTCAATTTCTTCTCCCTTTTCGCAAAAACTTCAAGATTTCCCTGGTACCTCGCACGCAAGAAATATTTGAAGATTTCCCTTTTACACCAGTGACGCGTGAATCACTCTTTTCTACAATTTTGTAAAAACCTCAAGATTTCCCTTGTATCTCACACGCAAGAGATTCCAAGTTCTCTTTTTAAAAATTGTGACGCGTGAAATGCTATTTGTAGTATACATGGTGAGTGAATTTTTCTAAACTTTGTGCGTGAAACGGGATCAGGAACCCTCATGTTTTTGTTTCGTGAGGAGAAGCCATCGAAAAATTAATTTTGAACGAAATTGGTTGCTTATTATTATAAGTTATGATTCGAATGAGTGATTCTGGGCTAAATTTTAATCGAAAACATTTTTTTTAATGTTTGTTTGTTTTTTTGTGCATTTGTTATTGCTGTTTCATTTTTTTTTCTTCTTACGTTCTTTTTTTCCGTTTTGTCTATTTTGTTTGTTTGTTTGTTTTTCTTTTTTTTTCAGTGACAGGATATCTCTGGAGAAATGGGATAAAAAAGACAACATTTTGATCTCAAAATCTGTAATCATCTTCTAATTCCCTTGAATGATCCAAAACAACAGAAAGAGCTGAAAGAGAGTACAGTGGCAGGTAGCTCGGAAAGCCACAAAACTCTTGAAGAAAAGGTTATCTTTCAAATCGGCACTCTTAATCCCATACGTATCAACGAATGCCTTTCATTCTACTTATTCATTCTTGTTTTTCTCGTCACCATGTTCCCACCTACAGCGTAGCTCCACTTTCTGCATACAAACACACACACAACCCACAATTCCTCCATTCGTGTCGAAGGGCTAACGCTCGAAACGTCAGCTTTTTAACTCTTTACGGTGGCCAATTTATAAATTCAACTTAGTTGATAGAACCAAATTACCTTGTTACCCCCACCGACGCAGCACCACAGTTTCCTTAGAAAATTACCCCCTTTACTCATTTGTTAAAATGTTAATTGTATAAATGTTACCTTCAATAATGCTTAGGTTAAAAGTTTACGTTTAGGTGCAGTTTAAATTATTGGCAGGTACTTATCTAAACTGTTACCTTAGAATGCTGAAGAAGTACCTGAGGAAGAGCACAAAGGAATAATTAATTGATTATTCATGACGTTTAGATAAATTCACGAGGGGCAAAGAACATATTGAAACTTAAAAGAGATAAAAGCAGCAAGTAGCAGAAATTATGTATTTTTTTTACCAAAAAAGTTCATTACTTTACACGGAAAACAAATCATTGAACAACATTACATACTCTTTAGAAAAGAATTAAAAATTTGCAGTTTTAAAAAATTCGCCTAACCGACAAAGTATCAAAAAGATGATATGGAAGGCAGGATTTTCATGGATTTTTTTAACGTTTTTGTGGCGATTCATCTAAAAAGGCATATTTTTGGAATTGGCAGCACCTTTTTACCCTACAGTCCTATTTTATATAATTTTTACCTCAAATGTTCCCACCCTGGTACCAGTATGCCTATTCTCCTATCTGTTCAGTCTCTAGACATTTCCTGAGGTACTTAAAAGGATCATTTGTCCACCAATCCTTTGTCAGCAGCTGACTCGACACCAACGGTAACCCATTAGCCACAGACTGGTAGAAATTCAGTTATAGCCAATGGTTTTCGATTTCCACTCACCATATTGGCCAGTAAACAAACTAAAATTGTCGTAACATCTAAGATGTCACTAGCCGCTTGGCTAGTAAGTTGACAAGTTAGTGTCAAGCCTTGCAGCTGGATGCTCACAGTGCCTTTTCATAGTTTCTTTAGACTCAGAACGAGAACTCACACTAAAGAACTCACCTCTTGAAGACATTCCCCTATATCTTGAACCAGGTCACGAAGAAGAAGCCCCTCAGCAACCTACAAGAAAGAAAAAATGTATAGTTTACAGTGCAGCCACTCAGAAAACCACA